CTTCCCCCCTTCCTCCCTCGCGAAGCCCTAGAAGCCGCCATGCCCCTCAAAGCCTTCGTTCGCTCGACGCCGCCCCGCCTGCTGCTCTATTTGGGGACGCGAGGTAGAAGACGCTGAATGTCTGATGGGAGAGAACCGACGATCAAGCTAATTAGGAGGAAGATATCGCTGATGGAAGAAGGTGGCGTAGTCGACTCGGAGGACGAGAAGGCGAGGTTCGAAGGCTATGGGTTTCAGCGAAACTGGTAGAGGGGGAGGGACATGGGCGAGGGCTTCGACCAGAGAAGGGAAGTGACGGGGTATGCAGGGTGAGGGTTTTTTATTGTGATGTAACTTTATTTTAGTTAAATTTTATTAATTTAATTGATTATAAACCATTAATTTAATTAATAAATTATCATGTTAATTAATGAAAACAATATATATAAAACTTTCAATTCTTTAATAGAAGAAGATTTACATACATATCAATGAAAACTCCTACTGCAATTATGTATTTAACACCTAAAAATATAATATCACGACTATAGCACATTGAAATTGTTGTTACATGTGTATAACGCTTCGTCATTGTGCTCCACGACGTTTGCTTCATCCCTTGACGGAAAGTTAGAAAACTTCCTAAGACTTCCTCTGGCTGAAATCTTCTAAAATATCACATATGTGGCGTTCACAGTTCTGTTTTAAACAACTTTACTAAACAATGGCAGAATGGTCATTTTTTCAGAAACAGTTACTTTGCAGCTGTTTTCACACAGTTGTACCAAACAGACAGCCAGCTTTCCCGCAGCCGCCTCCCCACAGCAGCTTTCTGGGACAGCGCAGCTGCAGCTGAAAAGCTGAGAAGCTGCAGCTGTGCCAAACAGAGCCTTAGCCAAAACAAAGTGCACCAATCTTAAGGTGTTTGGCCCCAGGGCCATACTCAAACAAATCCCTTAAAAGGGAACACACTGAGCATATTCATAAGCTATGCTCAATTTTGACCCTATATGAGGCGGGTAACCGAAAAGCATGCTAGGAAGTGCATGGCTTTCCTGCACATGAAAATGTATCGATTGAACTTGACCTCAGTCAATCAAGATACCAAACCAGGTTGGCCATAACAAAATGCACCAACCACAGGGTGTTTAGGCCTAAAGCAAAAACCAAAACATATCCCATTGAAGGGAATATACCACACTTATCTAAGATTAGTAGGATACGAAAAATCCAGATCCACAAGCAGTGGGCAACCGAACAAAATGCTAGGAAAAGCGTGTAACTTTCCTGCATAAGGGAGGTATCAACCGAACATGACCTCAATCAATCGAGATACCATAACAGGTTTGTCAAAACAGAGTGCACCAACCAAAAGATATCTGGACTTAAGGCCAAACCCAAACATACTCCATAAAAGGGAATATTCCGCACGCATACAAAATGAGTGGGGAGAGTATATCGATAAAATGTGCTCAATTCGGACCATATATGAAATAAGTAACCGAACAAAATGCTAGGAATAACGCGTGACTTTCTCGCATTTGAGAGGTATCCATCGAATTTGACATTGTCAATCGAGATACCTAAGGATGGTTGGTCAGGACAAAGTGCACCAACCGTAAGGTGTTTGATCCTTAGGCCAAACTCAACATTTCTCTCAAAAAGTGAATCAACCACAATCAT